CTGCTGAATCGGTTCGGCCAGTTCAGCCTACTTCCCCCCAAGCCTCACGTCAAGCCCACAAGTAAAAGTTTTTATTTTTCATTGTAGTTATTTGTTATCTTTTATCCTAAATAATGCTCTTTGCCATTATGTTTGTATACTTGTGGCGCATAAAATTCCAAAGAACCCTTTTTACACAGAAATTAGTTCAAGTTTTCTCTATGTTTTGTGATAGGTTGGGAAAGAATGGTCCTTCAGATCTTATTTCTAGGCCCTTCAAATCTTCTGGAGCCTGCTGCCACCTTCTCTCAAATCTCTAGGAAGTTGATTGTGTCTCCAATTGTCAAGACGTTAGTTTTCAGCAAAGTTCCAGAGAAGGTGCATCTTATCTCATGCTTTTGGATGTGTTTTTTATATTATTTTTTGCAGAATTTGCTTGCAACCTACACCCACTCTCTCTCTCTCTCACGCGCACACTCACATACATGAAAAAGCATTTTTTGGAAGATTTACATACATAACACTCAATTCCTATTTATTTACATACTATTTATTTACATATCTAAATTTACATATCTAACACCAAACCTTCAATTTCAAAAAGCATGCCACCTTACTTATGAATGAAAAGGTGTATTTCAAAGATGTATATCACTTTTCAAATATCAAAGAATGAAGAGCATTTTTTTTTGGGGTTGATTCCTCTTGATGAAATTTACCATATTGCACCAAGTTACTTGTATATGCGTGTAATTTGTGAACACTATGGGTGAATACCCATTTGAATAGGTATGGTCAATGATTAAGTTTGTAAAGCTTAACATTTAGCAAAAAAATAAATCTTTAACCCAATTTGTATTCTCTGGATCAAGTTACATAGTCTCCTATCATTAGGTTCGCTAGCCTACCCAAGATTTGATTCTTATTACACTTATCGTAAAACAAATTCATAAGCATTGTTTTGCATCTATTAGTTCTCTTATGATATAAGAGCTCTTTTGTTTACAACAAAATCATTCATATTATTTCATATTTTTAAGGTATAATTATATACAAACCACCCGAAACATTGATATTTACAAATTAACCACCCAGGTGATTCTTTTCAACTACTGAACCGATGTATTTACACCTGCCATGATCAAATTATTGATAATATGATAAAAATGAAAAATATAGATTGAGTAATCTCTTTTTTTTTTTGCATTTACGATGAATGGGCAAATTATCTCACAAATTAATGATACTTTTTGCAGAGTTAATTTCTATATTGTTGATCACAATGAATGGCATGATAAATGGCAAATTTACATACACACCACACAATTCTTATGCATTTACATATGCAGCACTTTAAAGTTTGATATTTACATATATAATGATTTGGTATTAAAACCCTATGCATTAAAGTGCGCTCTTCACTTGTAAAAAGTTAGTGCCAATGGTATTTTTGACGTGAAGTCAAAGCAACATGTAAATATGAAACTTTGGCTGTTAGATATGTAAATATATAAGCATTGTATGATATGCATGTAAATGCACCACAAATAAATTTCAGGTGAGGGATTGGATTGATAGAATAGCAGCAGACTGGCCCTTCAGGAGGATCATCCCCGCGCACTTCGCAGCTCCAGTAAATGCAGGAAGATCTGATCTCCTCGCAGCTTTCGCATTCCTCGACGAACTTCTGGATGACCGCCTCGTCGCAAGACCTTCAATTTCACTTATTTTTGCTTCCATCATGGGGAAGGCAGCCAGTTACTTCCCCCCAGATGATATGAAAACCTTATCTTCTCTTGATAATTTCTTAGTTTCAGTTGGAGCTGTAAAGAAAACTGCTTCTGGGAGGAGAAGCTGACAGAAATAAGCCTGAATGTTATTTATTTGTTTGAACCACTAGAATGAGCTGTGTGTGTAGGTGGTATTGAAATACACATTTTCATGCATATGTAAGGTGGTATATATGCAAAAATTGAAGTTTTGGATATGTATATAGATAGGAACTGAGTGATATGTATATACATACACACAATGCTTATGTATTTTACATGTATAACACTCAAATTTTTTACATCGTATTAAAAATATTAGCACCACTACTTTTTAAAAGTGAAATATACTATTTCAAGCATAGGTTTATGATATGAAAATGTTGTGAGTGTAAATATAAAAGCTCAAGTGTTAGATGTGTAAATACATAAGAATTATTTTGTATGCATGTAAATTTCCCTAAATTGAACCTTGGATAACTTATGAGTACATATCATGTTGTTATATCACTTTATGACAATGATGATAGGGCATAATATTTCATATGAATTTTGTATATGAAAAATATTTTAACACTAATCTCAAGATAGTTGGACAGCTTGAGAGGATGGTGCGACTGATCGGATGTACCTGGTCGGCGATCGACGGATTGAATGCTAGCAAGACATGTTTGGATCGAGCAATTGGAAGAATGTGTCAGAGGATTTTTCACAAGACGACGATCGGTACTCGGCTTCGGATCAAGTGTCGATGGTGCCAAGGCGGGGCAAGCGGTCGACGAACTTCTTTCCTATCGATATCTATTCGTTAGTTTTATTATATTCAGATTCCTTTGTAATTACTTAAAGGTGTCGTGAAAAATGATGGCAATAAAGCGAAAAAATTGGATTGAGAAAAATCGTAAAACAGAAATAACAGCGGAAACAAACAGATTTACGTGGTTCAACAAATTGCCCAAGTCCACGGAGCTGCAGAGGATTTTATTACTCGATGATTAAACTTGTCAATCGTCTTGATGATTACAAGAAAGAACAATCTCTCTTGCTCTCTCTCTCTCTTCTCTCTCATCTCCTCTCTCTCTCTCTATCTGAGAGACACAATCAAGAAGAAGAAATGCCGGAGAAAAACCAAATCCCGAGAGCAATTACAAAGGGAGCTAGCATGCCTATTTATTAATTTCATCATGTCATTAGACCCGTTAAGGAATTAATCAAATAATTATTGAATCCCATCAATTATTTCATTTTCTCTCCTGCAACAAATCATAGAAGGAATTAAGAGCAATTAATTTCGAGTATCAAATTCAAATTGCTTTCAAACATGAGAAAATGTCAAATTGAGTAGTGGATTAATTTTTATATTCGCAACAAATCTCCTACTTGGAGATCGGTACACTGGTTGCATCATTCGCTAGCTGCGTCGCTCTTTTCTTCAAACGTGATATCCTCCACCTCTGCAACTCAAAGCTTCTTATCTTCACGTTAGAAGACCAACTGAAGTTGAGCACAATCTTCAGTTTCTAAAGAGTAACACGCTTAGTCGACATATCATCGTCAGCATAGCTTTGTACCTGCAAACTCTTTCCTGTGTTACTTATGTTTCTGCTTACAACTCCCACTGCATAGGTAGTATTCTGCCTCTGCCGAAAGCCTTTTTCAACAAGTTTAGGATTATACCTCTTACTGCCATCAAGTCATTCTTCACCCGGTACACACTTGTTGTGCAATGTCTTCTTCTTTAGTAGAAGTTCTGTCAGCTCCCAAGTCTGATTCTCTGGCAGGGAATCCATCTTTTCTGGTCATTTTCCCAGTAACGGAAGATGAAGTTTCTTCTCATAGAGGTAGTCCTCTATCTGCATCCTCCAGAAAGCAAAATCTGTATCATTGTATTAAACTTCTCGATTCTCGATGCCATCACATCATCTCCTGCCATCGCTTTCCCTCAAATCCAAACTTTAGCTCTGATAACAGTTGTTGTGAAAAACGACTACATTAAAACAAAAAAATCGGATCGAGAAAAATTGCAAAACAAAAATAGCAGCGTAAACACACAAATTTATGTGGTTCGGCAAATTGCCTACGTCCACGAAGCTGCAAAGGATTTTATTACTCTAGGATTACACCCGTCGATCGTCTCGACCATTAAAAGAAAAAACAATCTCTCTCTCTCTTCTCTCTCCTCTCATCTCTCTCTATCCGAGAGCCGCAATCAAGAAGAAGAAACGTCGGAGGGAAACCAAATCACAAGAGAGACTATAAGGGGAGCTAGCATGCCTATTTATTAATTTCATAATGTCATTAGGCTCATTAAGGAATTAATCAAATAATTAATTAATCTCATTAATTATTTCATTTTCTCTCATGCAGCAAATCATATAAGGAATTAAGAGCAATTAATTTCGAGTATCAAATTCAATTTTCTGCAAAACATGAGAAAATACCAATTTGAGCAGTGAACTGGTTTCCATATTCGCAACAAAAGGGCTCTCTAAGAGCCAATTATAAAGGGATAAATTTGTAATTTTATAAGATTGAGGCATGTTCCTACAAATAGAAGGTCCATATCGATAAAAGGCAAATCATTCTAATTATTCTCTAATGTACTCTCTCATATATTTCCTTGTAGAACATTGTATATCTTGAGGGTGCTTCCTGGACAATTTTGGATTCAACAAATTTATCTATTTCCAAACATAATTGTTATTAATTTAATCATGAAAATACTCTCATGAGATAATTTGTTTCAATTTATCTCATATAAAAAAATTAATCTGTAATCTTTTTTTAATGTGTTTGTAGGATATTTATGCAAAATCATGACCCAAAATTTTGAATGCATTTTCTGTCCGGACTCCTGACGTAGCTCTACGTGCGCGGAAGTTATTCCTGAGCTAATTTCAGGTTATTTTCAATAATCCCAAAATAACCCAAAAATAAAGATCTTAGGTTATTTCAGGATTATTGAAAATAAACCATAAATAACTCAGGAAGAACCTCCGTGACACGTACAACTACGTCAGGAGTTCGCATAGAAAAATTAGACCAAAATTTTCGACCATCTTAAATTTTAAAACACACAATAACATCCACAATTACAAATTTTTTTGCTCTCAAAGTTTAAAATATTTTGGTTTCTTTATTTTGATTTATTAATTAATAACAGCTTAAATAATTTTGGTTTTTGCTGTCAGCGATCTCTAATTCCAATAATACTATCGTAATTATTGTTTAGTATATAAACCTATACAAAATACTATTTTCCTGCCCAGTTTCTCTGGACCAAGTCGCATATATTAAATTATAGAAAGATTACATTCACACCACTTAATTCTTATATTTAAATATTTAACTCCTAAACTTATATATATATATGAGTACGCGAGGGGTTAATATATATATATATATATATATATACATATATGCCGCAAGTCGTGGTCTGTTGGTTGGCAGGGTTCACTGCAAGTCCCCTCAGGTCACGATTTCAAGTGGCGCTGAGTTCTCGAATATTTAGACACATGACGCGGGCTCTCATTATGAGGTAAAATATTTGCGCACGTAAGACGTACGCAGCGCTGCGTACGCCGGAGATTATTCAGAGGGTACAGACGGGTTATATCCGGCTTATACCCTCCTGTAACCTCCTTGTAAGTTACCTGTAACTACCGGAACTACAGAAATGCGAAACTTAAATTTATAAGTTACAGATAGATTACAAGTAGGTTATAGGGAGGTTAAAAGGGGGTATAACACGGATATAACTCTCTTATACCCTCTGAATAACCTCCCGACGTACGCAGCTCCGTACGTCTTACGTACTCAAATACTTTCCCATTATGAGGCCTAGCACATGAGAAATTTGTGTGTGTGTGTGACTTTCTAAAGTTATTTTAATTTATTATTAATAATAGCTTAAATAATTTTAGTCATGCTGTCGTAATTACATTTTAGTATATAAACCAATCAAAAATACGAATTTCCCGCACAATTTCTATGGGACCAAGTCGTAATATAATAAATTATTGGAAGATTTACATGCATACCACTTAATTCTTACATATTTACATATCTAACTCCTAAACTTCAATAAATACATATATATACTTCTTTTTTATGTATGACCTTTTTAACTTAAATTTATAATATTTAATGTGATATAACAGATTTAAAATTAAGAATTAAGGCTTAAGTTCTATATATGTAAATACATAAAAATTGGATGGTATGTATGTAAATGCTTTGCCCCCATTATTCTATTACATCTGAACTTTAGAGGTAGAGATACATTCACAGTCCAATACATGTCACGTGGATATGGAAAAAATATTACATCAGTATTACGCACGTAGAAATACCGTGCGCAACCAATAAAATCACGCCACGCGCGATAGGAGAAAAAAACGGCGCAGTAACACGGAGAATATTCCCTCCCGTGTTATTCATGTGTTATTGCGTGTTATTCATGTGTTATTGATGTGTTATCGTGTTATTATAACACCAAGAATATTCTCATGATACAATAACACATGAATAACACACAATAACACTTGAATAACACGGGGAATATTCCCGATAGAGAAAAAAACGGCACAATAACACGGGGAATATTCTTCTCCGTGTTATTCATGTGTTATTGTGTGTTATTCATGTGTTATTAATGTGTTATTGTGTTATTATAACACCAAGAATATTCCTATGACACAATAACACATGAAGAATACACAATAACATATGAATAACACGGAGGGGAATATTCCCCGTGTTACTGCGCCGTTTTTTTTCTCTATCGCGCAGAGTGTCGTGGCGTTATTTTATTGGCTACGCATGTTACTCTTCGTGCGAGTGCTGATGTAATATTTTTTTTCGTGAATATGACAGAAAAATAAAAAAAATTTATTTTAGCACAATTGAATATTTCACTGATGTTATTGATATTATTTAGGTGTTACGAGGATAATTAAAGTTCTGAGAATATTCTCAGTTTTGAACGGGGGCGAATCACGTCAAAGTGCTCCTACTTGTGTCCGCATATTAGTGATTTCGACTCCTGATAGAATAATACTTTGCTTCCCCCTCCCTCTCCGTTCTTCCAGTTATATAGTGCGCTCTGGGTTTTATTCTCTCCATAGATTGATCGCTGTGGCTGGTTTTCTCTAGGTATTGCTATCATCCTTTCTTTTTTGTCAGGCTCTAAAGAACGGTAGTGATTATGTTAATATTGTCTTTTGTTGTCTACATTGATATAATCGCCTCCCTTTTTTCAGCGTTCCCATTCTGTTTCCATGGATTTGTGTTCGATTCGGTATTTTCATCTCGTTTGCTACAAATGGATGATGAAAACAATGGATCTTGATGGATGTTTCTCTTAGAACTTTGGATGAGTTGGGTTTACGGGGTTATGGGATTCAGGAGGCTGAACGATCGGAGTTATTAATGCATTTGCTTTCTCTGTTGAAGAAGTGATTAGGTATGTTTTGCAGCTATCTTTTTATTTTTTTATCCGACTTCTTGTTCGTGCTTTCTTATTTTCCATTTGATGATTAGGTTTGTGGAGATATTTGATTCTTATGTACACGAGTATTTGATTTTGTTGGAGCTTTAGGCTAGTTTGTTGAATGCAATTGGAAAGACTCTTCGGTTTATTGAAGATTATAGAAATTGATTCTGTTGTTTAAGCCACAGAATGGATCCGATCAGGAAATTGTTATTTGTTTTTTTCTAATTTTTAGGGAGCAGGAATTATTTATTGTGGACAATTGAATGGGTTTGTGATAATTCTAATGGTCTAAATACTAAAATAGTGATAATGTTAGTATAAATCAATGTTATTTTATTGAATTTTTTTTTTTCAATTAATCAATTATTTTATATTTTTTCTGAATACCATATGAGGCAGGTTTCATAAAATTTGTTGATGGATGTTCCCTTTGTTTGAATGTGCATAGTTGATTCTTATGCATTAATACTTCATTTAATTTTAGCTTTTGACCTGTTCAGTTTATGTAACTAGAAAAGCTATTTCAGTTTCTCCATGAGTGTCACAATTATTTTAAGGTCTGATCTTGTAATCTAGCAATGAAAGAAAAATTGATGACGGATCCATATAGGAATCCTTAAATTTTTCTACTTTAGTTCTGAAATTTTTAGTGAACATTTTAAAGATATAATAAAATACGTTTGGTAATTTGTTTTTGTTGTTAAAAACAAACTGAGATAATTTAAAAATTTACAAAACCATCCGAAACTTTTTTTTTTATTTGAACAAGCAAAAAAATTTCAACTTTGACCAATTGAGTTGCACATAAAACACTTAACTATAAGGCCAAATAACAAGTTATAATTTTTAGTAAATAAATTAATATAAAGTGTTCAAAACACAAAAAAGAAATATTTTTTAGGTTCAATGATTTTTTATAGATTTCATTCAAAAACTTAAAATATTATATCTATTCACTGAGTAATTGTAATAATAAAATATTAAAGACAGTAGATATTATCATAAGAACTATCAATGCAATAACATAAATAAATTTAGTTCTTTTCATTTCTTTTTCTGAAACATTAGTGTATAGTTGAAAGCATACATGTTTTTTTTCATGTAATAACATAACAAAATAAATCGAAAGCAAAAAAAAGAACATTGAAAGTACAAACGGCCTCAATGACCCCTCAGACATTCTTTTTCTGCAAATTCCAAAATAATGATTGTTCAACTATAATGCTCTCAGGTTGCCCATTATTGTATAGTTTCAGCGAAGAACTTATTAGGATTATCTCAGAAAACTATATTAATGGTCGTCTAGGTGGTGTTATATTTTGTTGTTTATATTCCCTTTTTAAGCATAGATATTTTCTATTTTATTTATTCTCTTAATCTTCTAATTGTAATATGGCATGCTTGATCAGTTTCTTACTATATGGATTGTCTTCGTAGAGAGATTTTCAAGGCAGATGTGATACTCTTACTGGATTTATTCACCTGCATTTCTTCGCTATACTAATAAACATGGTAGCAAAGTGTCATTAGTAAGGAAATTACAAAAAAAAATTAAATATAAATAACCCACTGTACTTCAGTCTCTCGCATTAAATAAGCATGAAAAGTTTATAAATCTGGATTAGGAAGTACAAAATGTCATTAGTATGAAGACAACTTTCAAGAATTAGTTACTTTTTCTTTTTGTAACTTAATTTAACGTGTTGCATAATTTAGCATAATTTTAGATTGGATAAAATTGGACAGTCTTTAATTTCTTATGATTTATTTTCTGGTCAAAGAGTTTGTTTTCTGACAGATGAATATAGAATAAAATAAACCATCAAAGGTTCCTGAGGTGAAATTTTAAAATAGCCGTGTGGATAAGAATATTTTGTTTTCTAATGTTGTCTGTCTTATTAGATTGCTTTTTTCTTTTAGTTGTTCAAATGTGGTCGGAAATACTTGAAAATAGATTGCAATATGACTTGCCTGAATAAAATGGAGAAATAACTCATGAATTAAACTTGAGATTGGTCTAGTGGACTGATGCTATTATCTTACAGTTCGTGATGTAAAATGTATTATTTCAGTTTAAATGCTTCTATTTAGAAGGATGCATTGGTGATGTTAACATCCTGGACCAGTTTGCTCCAAAAATAAATATGTATCATGCAGTTATTATATACTGGTTTACATTTTTGCTTTTTTTTTTCCTTTACAAATCCCATCACTATACTGGTTATAACTTCATTGTTGAATGAAATGAGAAGTTAATGACAATTGACTCCACAAAATATATTAAATACTCATGAGCTATAACTCAATGCTGGCATTTTTTGGACTACAAAACTTTGAATTTCATGTGCTAAAAGCCATTAATATCCCACATAAATCATTTTGGTGAAAGCCTTCTCTCCCTTTTCTCTCTTTTGATATTCTTTATCCTTTTTTTCCCTGATTTCTAATCCAGATTTCTAAGTTTTTCTTATTTTCTTACTGCAGAACTCAGCAGATTAACCTTGCTTAGTTCCAATGAGTAAAGCAGCCATGGATAGGGTAATTGTGTCAGTACTGCCTAGTTGATGGACTCATGGACCATAGGGGTGGGATGATTAGAAACTTAGCAGGAAAAGCAGATGGTAAAGTTGGAAAATCTCATCTTCATTACCCCAGAATTCCTGCAAGTTCCTGTCCTGATTCATGCAAGTATGGAAAGAAGAACGATTTGTTGCTTGTTAAAATGAATGGTGCGGTTTCAAGACACTCGAACACTCCCGAAACCCTAGATAAAAATTTTAGTCTCAAAAAAGTTGTCACTGCACAAGCTAGACGCAAAGGAGCAGAGTTTATGTTGGATACTGCCGTTCAAATAGATGACAATGTTTCCCGCTGCTCAGGAATTATCAATATGGTGCACTCGCAGCACTCTGATGCATCAAGTGACATGATTGAATGTATGTCTGAGGAATCCGTAAACATGAAACCAAAGACACCACCACGCTTTCTGAAAAACATTAGAACTTATGAGCAGAACAGTCCCTTTTTTAAAGATGGATCTTTGGAGGAATTAACTCTAGTGGTGCCTGAGGAAGTAGCTTTTACTGTCAATGAAAACGCTATCTCCATTGATGATGTGTCTTGGGCCTGGTCAAATGGGGTTTCTGTAGGGTCTGCAGCCATGGAGCTCGAGTCTCCTCCATCTGCACTAGAGAGCATGGCGTCTACCCTGACTTCTCATGATCATAAACTAGAGGGATCCTCCATGGAGTTTCAAGTTACACCACAGAAAATGATATCTTTAGCTGCTGATGAACTTACCGATCAAGTGAAAAAGCCATCTAATAGATTTAGAACCATGAAGCAAGAGATTATTCGGAAGAGTATGACACATGCTATGGCCAGTTCTTCGAAGGATACTGCTGGTATGAAGCCAAAACAACATAAGAAGATGAATAGTTTGAAGGTAGATGAGAAACAAAAGATAGAGCTTCCAATGTTGCGGTCCTCACTGCCAGTGAAAACTAGTCTTCTGGGTAGGATCGAGGCCAAGAAGAAAGTTGATGCAGTTGTGGAACCCAGCATTACAGATGAAAAATCATCAACTTTGATTAGAACTGTTAAATCTATTAAGCCAATTCAGGTTGGTGTGATGCCTGACATTGGACCTAGTACATCTTTTTCTCCCTTAATAATCAAGAAAAAGACTTTGTCAACTCCAAAAAGGATCCAATTATCCCCAAAGCAATCACTTCTACTGAAAACTAAATCTTCGGTCATAAAATACAGGTCACCAATGTCGGATTCTGGAAGAACCGGATGTCGAAGTAGCCAGGATAGCAGCGAGAATGCCTATAACGCTGGCTTGTCTAAGGTGAGAGACGAGAAGATTTTGAAGCAAGTTGCAGAATCTCTGGTCCCTAAGTCAAGTCTTAATTTTGCTCCAGTATTGAATAATAGGAAGGCGATATCAGTAAAGAAACAAGTGGAAGCTGGAAACGTGGATGGTGTAGTTGAACAGACACTCATCAGTGTAGCTCATAAGTCTACAGAACAAAAACACATGAAGCTGAGAGCTCTGCAGTCTTCAAGAACATTGTCCTCCGGGTCTTCAACATCATCTTCAGCATTTATCTCATCAAATTGTGAAAAAGAGAGTGATGGATCTCGGTCAACAGATGCTAACGTTTCCAAAAAGGCTCATATTGGTGAGAGGAAAAGGAGAACACAGCTTCATGTAGTTGAGCAGAAACCCTTTGGTGCAGTACCAAAGTTTGCAGAGCATAACCGCACAAAGCTGAGAAACTTGTCTTCCAGGTCTTCAATATCATCTTCAGCATTCTTATCGGGTCATGAAGAAGGGAACTGTGCATCTCGGTTGACAGTAACCAACACTAGTGGATCAAAGAAGACTCATATTGGTGAGAGAAAAGGGACAACACCGCTTCCTGTAGTTGAGCAGAAACTCTTTGGCGTGGCTCTAATGACTGTAGAACAGAAGAGCACAAAGCTGGAACCTCAGCTATCATTAAGAACCTCATCTTCCAGGTCGTCAATGTCATCTTCGCAATATGTCTCTTCAAGTTATGAAGAAGAGAATGATGGATCTCAGTTGTCAGTTAGTGAAACTAGTGGATGGAAGATGACTCAGATTGATGAGGGGGATGGGAGAACACCACTTTGCACAAAAAAAAGTGACGAGGAAGAAGTACAGAAAAAAACTGAAAATTTACACCTTGAAAATAAATTATTTTTGCTTAGCACATCTTTTAGAAGAGGGGAGGAAGTGTTGGAGGCTCAGAATTTTGAAGGTGATTCAGGGATGAGTAACTTTAGGGAGAGTAGAGAATCAACAAAGGAATGCTTGGCCACTGTTAGTCCTGGTTTGCCTGCAGCTGTGCTGAGGGACAAAGTTGTGCAGGAAAAGAATACACAGGCTCTTTCTAATGATTTAATTGAAGAAACTGCGAACAAGCTGGCGGAACCTAGTAAGAGCAAGGTGAAAGCTCTGGTTAGTGCTTTTGAAGGTATCATCTCTCTTCAAGAGAGAACTGTTTTGTGAGCAGTATTTGTTTTTGTCTATTGATTGAAAATATGAAATTTCTGCTGCATTTAGTTTTTATATTTGGACTTTCCAAAAGTATATGTATAGCATAAGGGCGATGTTGAGAGGCTTCTGTGTTTCATAAGAAAAGAGGAATAAATTTTCCCTAGTCCTTTCTGAGTGAAAATGAATTGTTTTTTTCTTAATATTTGCGTGTGATAAAATATGATGCATTGTAATAATCAGCTTTTTGTTCCCTCTTAATATTATTTCCAGGTATGAACTTTGGACCTGATAAATGAAAAGCTAGTAGGATCTCATTGCTTCTTTACCTTCTTTTAATTTAAAGAGATGGCTAATTTTATGTGATTGAGATCAATCTGAAATTTAACTGGGAATTTTCATTTTCATTGATAATTTTTTAGCTGCATGAGGTTCTTGTTGAGGATAATTAAAAAAAAAAACATTTTCTGAAATTAATATTTTAAATCAACTAAGAAATTCTTTTTTAGAAAAAAATCAACATATTTGAACTTGATACATCCCTAAAAATCATATTGATTTGCATGAATTTTGACACATATTCACACTAGAAGTCTTAAAAATCAAGCTTGGAAATGCCCATATTCCAATTTATGGTCAAGTGAAGTGTCTCAATGAGATGAACCAAACGATATAAAAAAAATGATCTGATCTGAGCTAAAGTGGGCCTAGATCATGCATTTGAAGCATAAAGAAAAATTTTGGAACATACTTTGGGGGACCAAACGATCTATAAATCTAGTAAGTTCACAGTCAAATTGAGCATCTATACAAGATGAATTCAATGAGCCCAAGAGCACCAAATTATGACATCTTCAAGCATTCAAATACTCATAAAAGTACATCTAATCAAGAGAATCACTTTGGGTCTTCAGATAAACGGGTCCAGATTAAGTAATATTTACAGAGTATGTCACTCTCAAAATTTATAAATAGACATCTAGTCTCTTCATAAGAGAGCAGTTGGACCTGGAGCAGAAGGCTGAAGCAACTTCGAGTTTTTGAGAGTTCCCATGCTCCACCACCGCAAACCTTTCATCATCTCATTGCCGCCATCGCTGGACCACTTTTGCCCGACCACCATCGCCGTTGTCCCCGCCACCAGACCAATGCATTTGGCTGTTGCCTCAGATCACAATTGCCTGAGTACCACAATCATCACTACCATTTGGTTGTTGCTACCATTGGACCACCACTGTCTGGCCATCAGAGTCGTTGTCGTCGGATCACCACTGTTTGATCGTTCTTGTCGTTAAACCAACATCATTTGGTCATTGCCGCCACTGCCAGACCATCGTTGCCTAGTCACAACTATAGAATTGTCTTCTCGCTGCCATCGCTTGACCAGTGCTGCCTGGCCCCCACTGTCATCGCCGTTGAACCACCGCCATCAGGCTGCCGCAATCACCAAACTACAGTTGTCTGATTACCACAGTCTCCATCAGATTATTGACGTTCAGTCCCCGCCATCGCTAGACCACCATTTTTTGACTATCACCATCGTCACCTTTGGACCAGAACTGCCTGACTGCCGCCATCGCCAAATCACTACTCCGCCACCACAATCGCCACCTTTGAACCACCATCGTCTAGCCGCCATCAGACCAACACTTCTCAGCCACCATAGTCGTCGCCATTGGACAACCATTGTTGGGCCGCCACCATCACTAAACCATTATTTGCCTGACCTACACCGTCGTCGCAGTCGGACCACCGTTACCCGGCCGCCACCACCGCCAAACCATCACTACCCGCTACGACCGACATTGCCATCAAATAACTATGTTGGGTTATCGCCACCATCAGACCTTTGTTCCACGGCCACCATGGTCACTGTTGTCGAACCACCCCCATCGGGTCACTGCTATCAATAATGTTGACATCAGATTTTCTGGCACACAACCTTTATCATCAGTCTTCCGTCATAGTAGCTAGTTCGTCGGTACCTCCCAATACAAACATGCTTGAATATATATTTTTTCATCCACAAATTTGTTGATACAATGTCAGCGTTTAAAATATTAAGAATCCTTATTATTTCCTACACTTCATCATGAAGTGGAATGTGCAATTCTGTTAGCCCCACCATTTCTCAAGAGGACCCTAGTGATTTTTAATGAAGAGAATTTCAGCTGGTTAGTTTTTTATAGCATCCCTGGTTAACAGTTATAACTATCTCCTCCTGCAAGAGAAATTTGCCTGTTTAGAGCTTTAATTTTCTCACTGACAGAAGTGTTTTCTCTCTTCATTCTTTGATCAGATCATGAAATTCATAATTTAAGATACGCAACCATAAAAATATATACATGATGATACAGTCATGCATACTATATCAGTTATTGTATTAATTGGTGGCTCAGAAATGTCTAATAAATATATACAGACAATTCTGCTTGTTTAGAGCTTATTCCATCAGTTACTTCTGATTCAACAACAGCCCCAGCGGGTGGCTGGTACTTTACCTTCTGACCTTATTTTCGTTGCCTTTCCTCGTATTTTCATTTCGTCGTTTTGCAGCCTCTCTTTTGTGAGCGCTTGTGCATTGCCGGCGACTTTGTTGATCCTTGATAGCTCATTGTTGTAGTGTTGATTGGCTTTGGCTCGTTTCTGCTCTGGTCCTCCCTGCCATTTTCACGTACGTTAAGCTTCTAAACTTTGATTTTTACATTTGTAACACTTTGGTGTGATAAATTTATGCTTGGTAAGTTGTGATTTTAAAGATTTGATTGTTAAAGTTTGGGTGTTAGACGCGTAGATAGATAAGAATTATGTGGTATGTATGTAAATACCCCTTTGATAAAGGAAAAATTTACATGCATACCATGCAATTCTTATATATTTACATATCTAGCAGCTAAACTTCATATTACATTTCTAACACTTCGGTGTGATATACCAATGCATGAAAAGATGTATTTAACTTTCTAAAAGAAGGTGATTGTGGTATTTTTCATGTGATTTTAAAGATTTGAGTGTTATGCATATAAATATTAAAGTTTGGGGGTTAGATATGTAAATACATAAGAATTATGTGGTATGTATGTAGATGCTCCCCTGATAAATTTACGACCAGGCAATAAGAGTACCAGTTTGCAGATTTTATGAGCTAGTGGTTTTGGAAAAATCAAAAGCAAATAAACTTGGAAGGAGGAAGTTGTGAGGAAATTTTAAGATTAGAGAAAATCATTGTATGGTTTAAAACACTTGCAGCAACCGTCACATATCTAGATGCACTAGAATTTATTAGTCATTTTGGTGATTTTATGGGCATGTGTATCACAAGTATCTTTGACTGTGTGGATAGCAGTATTTCTCTTGGATGATGATAAAGTGGATGCATCATCAGTCACATCACTTACTGCTCTCTGCTTCCTCTTCAACATTCCTAAGAGTTTGTGATCTTCATCAGTAAAGACCACCCCTATCTCTCTGTCCTTCTCCGCTACCATCAAATTCACCCGGTGGCCCCCTCTTCCACCCTTTGACCCCCACGATTACTACTATCCACGTCCACCAGTCTATCTTTTTCTTATGTGGCTTGGGACAAGCGTTGCTCTAGTGTCCCACTTCTCCACAGTTGTAGTAGCTGTGGGTGTCACCCTGGGCACCTGTCGTGCATAAGTTTGAGGCAGACAAATAAGATTGTGTCCCTGGAAGACCACTCGGCTCAGATTGTAGCCTCATGCGAATCTCCTTCTGCAACTTTGCGGTGAAGACCTCAATCCAGTGAAGGAATCGTGCCTGGGCTAGGAGGACCGATCTCCTCTAATCAAAGATCGGGTTCAGATGAGCCAGAAACTGCATAGTCTTCGTTTGTGTAGAGATCTCCCCCTTCTTGTACCCTGGATCACCACAACTGTACATAGGTGAGAAGTGATCAATATCTTGCCACAGACGCTCATGCTCTATGGATTATTCTTGAATCGATCTATCACCTTATATCACTTCCTCTATGTTACGCTAAATATAAAACACCCTCATGTGATTCTCAGTCTCAGCATAGGTTCTCTTTAGCTTTGCCGAGATGTCATTCACTTTTCTAATGTCATCCACTGATTTCGTAATTGATGAAACCATCAAATTATGTAGAAGTGTAAATCAATGCATGTGTGATCCTGCACTCATCGTCCACAACTTTGTTACTCTTTAGCTCGACTCTGTCAGGTATCCTTTTAGTCTCTTCCCTATTAAAGCAACCTCAATCTGACTCGATCAACTCAGATACGTTGTCGATCCATCAAGCTTCAGATCCACGCGAGGGGGATTTAGCTTCACCTGCGTCGGAGCACGTGTTGAGGTAGTGGCTCCTGTCAAGACGTTAGCTCCCTATATGAGTCCAATTAAGACCTTCAAAACCTTAGGATCTTTCTTCTCTAGAAGCTTCAATTCTTTACCCTCTGTTGTTACACCCCGTCCCGACGCTTAGAATTATCTAAAGCGGAACAATGATTGAACGGTATTGACATCTAACAATCCACATCTTGAAAACTTCTAATATATTTTAAAGAGTCACTAATCCATAAAGTGCAATAAAATCTAAAACATCAAAAAACAATAACATCCAAAATAACATTTAATTCAGTATCTAACAGTAAATCAATATCTAACATAAACAATAAAGTGACACTATCACCATATTGCTTGGCTTGCTGCCACACATACTCTTGACCTTCTATGCTTAAATGTTCTTCAACCAAAATTATTGTTAAACATTAATATTTTGTTAAATATCAATTCCTAATTAAATTAAACTTCAATTTAAAACATGCCTTATTTTTTAAAATTATTTGACTTCTTACTCAAATCCAAAGGATTAGCCGGCCTTCTTTCTCACTTCCTAACAGTAATAAAGTTTAATAACATTAATTAATTTAGCTAATTACATCATTAATTTCATTAATAGCTTGCTTCACATTCTTCTCCTTTAAAGCAAAAATTCCTATATTAAAATCTCGATTCAATATGACATTGCATCCAACACTCACACACTCCCACAAATTCACTAAACACTTTAATAAAACTATAATATACCATGAAATCTTTTGATTTTGTTGTAATTCTTCCTCTTCTCTCACCTGAATTTCGTGTCACTTCATTACCTAAATTTTTTTTAATTTATCAATTTCAATGTTGACATCGCATATAATTAAGATTAAACTTTAAATAATATGCACACATATATTTATTTACAAAAATATAACTAAATAATATAATCACTTATAAAACTAAATCAGTTTGCCTACTCAGGCGATCTCAGCAGCACCATAGAGAGCCTTCTTTTCTTCTTCTCTCTCGTGTGGTTTGAAAGCCCTAATTGCTTGCACGGCCTCGCTCTTCCCTCAACTTCTTCTTCCCCTCTGACTTCTTCTTCCACCACACGCGAGCACGACATCACTCCTTTTCTTTGGCCCGTCTCAACCCAACAAAGCAAGCGAGCTTCGATTCCCTTCTACACGTCTCGTCTCGACCCGACAAGCTCGTCTTCACTTCTTTACAAAGCTGCAAGTCACCTCTCCTTAACTCAGTCCGACACAGACAACAACCACTTACGAGGCTTAGGGTCGAAACAGATAAGAGACATACGACTACCTCATTATTCTTCTCCATTCACTATTACTGTTTCTTTTTCTTGTGGCTTTGATCCCTCTTCCTCACTCGGCTTGGCCACAATCTCTTCTCAGATTTTCTTCTCTAGCTTTATTTCTCGCTCACTCATTTGTTTTGAATGAGGGGGATTGCAAGTGTGCATTAAAGATGCTCTAAGGGGTGCGACTCATCAACAAATCTTAGTTAGCCAACACGAATATCGAGGCATGACATGGATATCAAAATAATATTTTGAGTAATAGATGTTCAAACATTGATAAAAGCTTATCCAGAGTTCTGATTTCAACAAACTTATAGTCAAGTTGACTGACTCGATGAGACGAACTTAATGATATCAAAGTCATTCCAATCCAAGTCAAATCAAGCCCAAATCACGTCATTAAACCATTCATGCAGGATTTTCAAACATATTTGAAAGGTCAAACGGTTGTCGAATCTGACAATTTTATAGTCGAATCGAGCGTCTCGACAAGACGAATCCAACGAGCTCAAGATTGTGTAAATCTGACATCGTTAAGACATTCAAATATCCATTAAATATCGTTTGATTGGATGAAACTCTTCGGACCTTCCAATCAAAATGATTAATATTCATGCATTAATGACACCCAGAGCACTATAAATAGAGCCCACCCCTCACATAAGGGGGAGACTGAAAGCTTCAGAGAGAAATAGAAGCTCTGAGAAGAAACTGAAGTCCAACACCATCTCAACCGTCGTCGACCACTGCTGATCGCCATCAACCACCACCGACCGTCGTCGACACCCGACGATCGTCGTCAACCATTGTTGACCGTCAATATCGATCACCACCAATCATTGTCTATCACCACCAACCAGACGTCGTTAGTCATCATCGTGGGTTATGAGCTCATCACTACGATCTATGTGTCAACAACGACATACGTGGTTCACAACTCGTGCAACACCCGACTCCAACCCCCACTGCCTATGAACGTCATTCATACTCTTTCCTACGAGCTACGTGATTCATAGCCCGTGTAACTTCCAACTCCGGCCCCCACGGCCTACGAACGTCATTCGTACTCACCCTTACGACCTACGTGGTTCACAGCTCATTCAGCTCTCGACTCCAGCCTTTGCGGCCTACGGACGTCATTTATACTCACCCATATGGCTTACTCGGTTCACAGACGGTGCAGTTCCCAACTCTGGCCCCCGCGACCTATTGACGTCGTTCACACTCGCTCAAACGACCAATGTGGTCATCAGCTCATGCAGCTCCTAATTCCGGCCCTCGCGACCTACGTATATCGTTCATATTCACCCCTACGACCTACGTGATTCACAGCTCGTGCAGCTCCCAACTCCAGCCCCGACGTCCTACGTACGTCATTCATACTCGCCACTACGACCTATGTGGTTCACAACTTCTCTCACTGCTTATTACGATTTTTTTGGTCAATCAACGCTTCTGGAGCAACCATCTATAACATTCATGATGAACCACAACAATCAACAATGACCCTTGCAACATAAACTACAGCTTGATTATAGTTATACAACTTTTTAATTTCATCTTCTCTAATTTAGGAGAATGATGAACCTCTACACTCACCATTCATAGTGGATTATTTCAACTGGGCTAGGCTCCATGTTTTTTCCCTTTTTCAAGGGTTTTTCACGTAAAAAGTAGAGGTGTCTCTTTTTGCTTACTTCTCTTCTTTTATCTGTGTGTGCTGAATTCTCGTGCCATGCTAAAACGATAATCCATTACTCTACCGCCATGAATTTTCTGGCACGCATTATATATGTGTGTGTGTGTGTGTGTTGAAATATCTAATTCAAATCGCAGGATTTATTGTCTTTCCTCTTATACAGATTTTATTCTCCTTCTTTATTTATATTATTTGATATCTGTACCAAATCTTGCTTAATTAGTCTTGTAATGCAATAGGAAATAATTGAAACATATTTAGTTAGTTTTCTTATCTGAGGAGGAGAGACTCCTATATGTATAAACACTTTGAATTGAATCGGTAAGAAGGAACAAA